CTCAATGCCCTCCCAAATAGCAGTCATCCGATGCTCACCCTATAAGGATAGAACAGATGTATCATCGGGACCTGACTGTAGTAATGAACAGGGATCACGATCCATGTCTACAACCTATATCAACATAAAATATACACAAAATTAGTTAACATATATTAATAACAACATTAACAAGTATCAAATAATGAAAAATGCGCTCGAACAATAAATAATGCAATATAACTTACATACAACATTAGAGTGCATAACTAAGATTTATAGTGGATGACCCATTGAAGAAGCTGATTGGTTCTTCACTGGACATGTTCGACGATCGTGTCCTGTTTGCAAACAAATACTACAGTGATTCTTCTTGCGCCCTTCTCTCGAAAAATTTATTTCATTTCGTATACACGATGTCTGTGGATGTCCTCTAACGCCTCGACGCAACAACCTACCAAGGCATAAATGTAGCGTCATCGGTAACATCCCAATAATCTTGATGGTGCAGAGGATGAAGATCCGACGCCCAAATAGNTAACGCCTCCACGCAACAACCTACCAAGGCATAAATGTAGCGTCATCGGTAACATCCCAATAATCTTGATGGTGCAGAGGATGAAGATCCGGCGCCCAAATGGATTCAAGTGCATGGATGGTGAATACTGGATCGATTAAATTCCAAGAACTAACTTAGAAATGCGAGCATGCGGCCATAACATGAGAACAAGACATTTTATAAATTATAAATTTTTCACAACTGCATGTCCGATCATCAATACAAATAACATGTGTATTACCATTATTACTGACCATCTCTACAACTTCACGTCACATGTGAAATGGTGTAACAGTACACATTCCTGCTTTTACCTGGTTGGGTCACATAAATTCGATTGCTTTAGGTGAGTACTTCATACCATCCTCTATGCAGCGTTATGCATGTTCACAATGTTCACAAAAGTATTTTGCAAGCCGATAAAATATAAATTTAACACATGCAGTGATGAGAAGCATCCTAGCACCTTTCAATGCACCATTGAACACCTCAAAAACATTAGTTGTGGTTGTTCCATATCGCCGACCACCATCATGGGCAAGTGTCCACTGTTGTGCTGGAATATCGGCTAACCACTTCCATGCATTAGGATTTATACTTTTAATTTCTTCCATTATCATATTAAACTTGCGAAATTGATGTGCTGCCCCAGCCTTCCACACTTGATCTTTCAAATACATGTTGTAATGTGTGTTAAAATTGCTTTGTACATGCCTAAGACAGAAACGATGATAGGCGTATGGCTCATTCCACCCAGAATCTAGTTTCTTAATCACTGAGATTATATCTTTATGTCGATCTGAGATTAAGCATATACCAGCTCTATTCGACATAATAGAGTGGCATAGATGATATAGGAACCAACCTCAGCTTTCACTAGTCTCCTCATGAACAAAGACAAATGTTAGAGAAAAAATTTTCTTCTGAGCGTCAATCCCAATAGCAATAAGAAGCTTATGTTTATACTTGCCATTTACAAATGTGTCATCGTTGCTGATTACTGGCCGACAATGAACAAACCCATCAATAGAAGCTTTGAATGCCCAGAATACCTTTCCAAATATATCGAATTCAGGAGCACGAGTCTCATATTGTCACTTTACAATCGTCCCAGGGTTGTATTTCACAAGAACACCCATAAACTTCGGCAAGATGTTGTAAGAACAATCTCAGTCACTGAAAACCTTGGCTATAGCTTTATTTTTTGCATTTGAAGCCTTCTTGTACGTTATCAAATAATGATACCTTTTTTTCACCATTTCAATGATGACAGACATTGTAACATCAGGTGTAGCACGAACCATACCCTCAATCTATTGAGAAATAAAACTTGCATCAAGCTGACAGTGGTCCTGGTTCAACCTTGGGTAGAAACAAGTGTGAGGTGCCTGATATTTTGTGATCTCAAACATTCCATGCTTAGCCTTTAAAACCGCTTGTAACCTCTATTTGCCCCCACATTGTGCACACATCTTGCACCTCAACACCCAACGCGTTTTATTTGTATCAACAACAACATATTGTTGGTGCATCTTAATTGAATACAATTTAATTGCCATCTCCAGCTCCTTTTTAGTCCTGAACACCATATCCTTAGCCAGTTCTGGTCTTGTAGGATCCCATGTTTTAATTCCATGCAAAAAGCACAAGCTGTCAACTTTATTCTGGTTCCTCGATTCAATGTTTGAGAAAAATATTGACTCTGACTCATGCATAGGAACCTCACCATCATCATCAACAGAATTACCTTCGGCATAATAATCATCATCATCAGAGCCATCACTCAATAAATCTTCTGTCAACTCTTCTTGTTCGTAGTAATCATTCTGATTATTAACACACATTACTTCATATGTATTATTATCAATCTGATGCACTACAAGTGCTTGGACAGGGTCCACTAGCACTAGTGTTGGGGTAACTGGAATGATTTTCATCCCCTCATTACCTATAGCATCACAATAGTCTTGATGGGATGAGCATTCGGGAAAAGTACTAGGCCCTATTTCAAACTGTGCATGTGTATATCAATTGTATTCTTCCATACACTGCATTGTTACAGGGCTGTAATCATTACCCACCATGGCTGAAGGGTCAAGCACTGAGATATATGATTCTTGGCTGAGCATGGCAGCATATGAACCAATAGCAAGCCAACCTTCATTACTTCCACCAATGTCATCTGCCCTAACCTCTTCGCTCACATATAAATCAACTTTGTTAACACCTTGATTGTCAAATACAACATCCATCATTGCTTTCACACCATAATTGTCAACAACTTCTAGTGGAATATATGTATAAAAGTTAGTTCCCAATGTAGTAGGAAACCTACAAATAAGCTTGAGGTTGTATTTATTCCTATCTATCCCCGTCACATCATGCAACCTATCCACCAATGCCGAGTAAGTTGTGTCATGCACAACCTTTATCACATGCTTATAATCATTATCGTATCGTAAAACATCATGGTTCTTGAATATGGTACCACCCCAATAAATCACCATAGAAGCACGTCTTCCAACCATTCTTAACAATTCTACAATAAATACATCAAAAGTTAGTGTGTATACACAACCAAAACTTTTGCTTTCATCGAAACTTTTGCTTGTTCATGCTTTGAAATATAAATAAACCTGGTAGCCCGTTCTAATTTTTAATCACCCAATAATAAGGAAGGAGCACATTAAGTACATAAAATGATTGGTATATACATCAGGAAAGTAATCTATAAAGACTGCTAATATATTTTTAAAACTCCCAGAATAAATATGAAAACTTGAAAATTTTAACTCGCCAATTGTAATAGAAACTTTTTTGTCCCTCCTAAATTAAATTTGATATGCTTCTGTCAATTAATACCTTAAGTATTAGGACTCCAACACTATGCAGAGTAGACTACACTCATTCATTCAATTGTGACTGGGTTTGGGGGGAAGATATGGAAAAGTATAGCAAAAAAAAATCTTAAATTTATTTCCTAAATTTATTTCAACTCGTGCACGATATTATGACATAGTAAGTAGAGTAACATATGAAAGAAATTAACACTTGTGAATAGGAAATCCACCTTCCACCAAACTAGTGACGTTATTAGCAACAATGATGCATCTTCACTAAAAATTGTTACTAAAAATCTTAGTGAACTGTGGGTATATCATATTTCATTTTTTATAAAATCATGTTGGAAGCTATGTTATTTTATCATGGGAAGTTGGATGTGTGATTTACAAATTTCGATACAACTAGGCAAATTGATGAGAAAACTTACAGTTCTATAAACTTAGTTAATATTTTCCTAAATACCTCAATCATTGTATCTCAATATAAACTTAGTTAATAGTGGTGGCATAAATACCTCAATCTATTGAATGGTCATTCTCTGTGGGCTAAAGTTTTTAGAGAAAGATATTTTAGAGGTAAGCATATGCTGAGGTGTGTAAATTCTGGGTCTGGTCAGAGTTTTAAGGTGTTGAGGCCTTGGTTTGAATTTGTGGTGCAGAATTCTATGCTAATTCTTGGAAATGGTCAAAATGCAGATTTCTGGTGTGATTCCTGGTTGGACTCTGGCCCCCTAATTTTTAGAGTTGAGGAGGTACCTTTGGTTTTTCATAAGGTTTGTGAGATGTGGAATGTTAATGGATGGCAGTCAGAAGAAATTTCTAAATGGCTTACCCCTGAGTTAATATCTGAAATCAGTAACTTGAATGTGGTAAGATCTGATACGCTTGATAAGTGGGTTTGGAAACATACAAACTCAGGAGTCTTTTCTGTTAAATCTGTATGGCACCAGATCAGAAAGAAGGGTGTTCAACATAGCATTATTCAGGGTATATGGAGGCAGAAAATTTTTCCTAGTGCTCAACTCTGCACTTGAAAATTTTTTAACAAAGCTCTGACTACTGATGACACAGTGAGAAGTGTGGGGGTTTCTTTGGCTAGCAGATGTGTTATGTGTGGCTTGGATGAGGAGACTACTACTCACTTATTCATTTCTTGCTCAGTGGCTCAAGCTGTGTGGAATAGATTGGCTGCTGGTATGGGGTTTGGAATTGTTCAAGGAGAGCTCCCTATGTGCAAGTTGCTAAGATTGATGAGAATTTTTAAAACTCAATCTTTAAGCCATAATCTGATCAGAGGGGTATCTATGCTACTTTTTTGGGCTTTATGGAAGGAGAGGTGCAGAAGGAAATTTGAGGGGGTTAGCTTAAACACATATGCCATTTTTCTGCAGGTGGTAAGTGCTATGAGGTGGCAATCTTTTTTGATCAGACCTGGGAGTGCTGATGATAGTAGAGGAAAGAATTATTGCTGACTTTTAAAATTGGAGCTCCTTTCTCTGTAATTACTAAAGTGAAGTGGTTCAGGTGGGAACATCCTCTTGATAACTCTCTGAAGTTAAATATTGATGGAGCTTCCAAAGGGAGTGCTGGACTTTCTGGGGGTGGAATGGTTGTGAGGAATGCTCATGTGNGGAGCTTCCAAAGGGAGTACTGGACTTTCTGGGGGTGGAATGGTTGTGAGGAATGCTCATGTGCATATTGTAGTTGCAGCTGCTGCATTTTATGGCTCAGGTTCTAACATGAGGGCTGAATGTAATGCTTTTCTTGATGGAGTAAAAATGATCTTGAGCAATAATTTGGAGGGTTTCAGTTCTGACTCACAAGTGTTGGTTCAAATGGTGTTGGGCCAAACTGAAGTACCACGGAGATTGAGAGATGCAATGGAGCAGATTTGGAGGATCCTTGGAAAATTAAGGTATAAGTTGAATCATATATACGGGGAAGCAAATGCCATAGCTGATTTTTTAGCTTCTTTGGCTGTGCAATGTGGTAGAAATGTTGAGTTTTCTGGAAATGATATGTTGCCTCTTGCTGGAAGAATGCTGTTATAGCAGGATCAAGGTAAGTTACCTACTGCTAGATTGAAGAAAGTTGTGGTTTTTGATAAAAGGAGTGGTGCTGGTTGAAGTTTGGTAAGTTTCTGGATCAAAGAATTGGAGGATTTGTGTTCCCATGAAATAATTCATTGGTTTTAGTTCCATTGAAGGATTAAAGCCAACTGGTGGTACCTAAGTTTTTTGAAACAAGGGTCTATCAGTGCTGGCTTGTACTGCTTCTGCAGAATGGTTATGATGTGCTGATGTGTAATCTGAGCTGAGCAGTGATGCAGGGATCAGTTAGCAGCTGGAACTGGTCCAGCTTAATCTTTGCAGGCAGTATCTGGTTTTATGCTAGATGCTGTCTTTGAATTGGTTGTTGAACAGTTGTTTTGCTGCTGGTTTGCTGAGTTGCTATGCTGCTGATTCATAACTGTTGTCTGTGGATGGAGGAGATGAAAGAGCTGAAGGTCTGAAGCTGCAGTGGGCAGACAGTGCAGTGGAGAAGCTGGAAAATAGTTGCTGTACAGGGCCTTTTTGTGATTAACGGAATTTTTTCTGTATTTTTTTGTACAGTTACTGTTTTGGTTATTCAACTGTTACTGTTTTGCGAGACCAAATACATTTGCGCATTGTGCCAGCAAGCAAACTCGTTTACGTACACATATACAAGTGTGTATATATGTTTGAATATTTTCTTCTTGAACTCGTACAATATACATTTTAGAAAAGGTGATATTTGAAAACTTGATTGGACTGACGACGAAGTTGCAAGGACACTGTCACTGTGACTGCTTGAGCCCTAGTAAGGCTGAAGCTGTGGAGGAGAATTTCTTCAGCAAAGACACCGAGGAAGAACAGGTCAAAAGTTAATCCTATGTCCACATGAATTTGTAAATTACAAGGTAGAATTCTAAAACCTATCTACAACAAAAGACCTGAAAATTCAGTATCAAATTGAAATTGCATTTATAACTAACAATAATAATAAGAATTTTAAATATGAAACCCTTAAAGACTAAAATTTTACAGACAAATACAAAACAAAACTAATATCCAAGATGATAAACTAACAAAGACTGATCAATCAAAATGCAAAAAGGAATTTAGAGCAGTGGCAGTCATGGTCCATTCTGTCAAAAATAGGGAATCAAAAATTTTACACTCTCCAATTGGTCACGATTATAGGACGAAGGAAAGGACTCCTTGGCCATTGGATTCAACTTCAAATTGGACAACATGTTTGTAAGGTCAGTCATTGGAAGCTCTGATTTCGAAGGCACAAGCAAAATTTTGTTAGGTCTGATAATAACATACCCGGTGTTCTGAATCGATTTAGGGCAAAATCTCTAACTCGTTGATGAACGGGCTGGATCTCGGTGGCTGATTGGGTGGCTGGATCTAAGTGGATGAAGTGGCTGCTGGATCTAGGTGGTTCTCGCTGGATGAACAACGCTTGGAGCTCGTCAGATCAAGGGTGGTTAGAGCTCGTTGGAGAAGCCGCTGGATCTCGGTGTTTGGTCGCGGAGGAGAGGTCACCATCGTTTGTGGAGGAGGAGAGGTGAAAACAGTCGTTTGTGGAGGAGAGGTGAAAATTTTAAAAAAAATTTTTAACCTAGGTAGTGATTTGGGAATTGATAAGAGAGTGGCCATAACATTCAAATCGTTAGGGTAAATGATGTCTTCGGCCCTTTTGTAATTCTTAACGTCTGTTAGCGTTGTTTAAAAAAATCATGTTTCAAGAAAAAAATTTAAACTTAAAATTATCATTTTAAATGATGTTTTCATGTAAGAATGCATCATTTTAAATAACGTTTTTAAAAAAAATACTAGATTTGATAATTAAATTTAAAAGTGATTGATTTTAAGAATTAAGTTTTGAGGGAGCATGAGTTTGGAGAAAACCTGATTTAAATATACTCTTATCTCTCATATTTATAACTTTTTTATTTAAATTCTAGAAAAATATTATTTATTTTAAATCGTTTATCAAGATTCATAGAATAATTTTATAAATCAAGTACATGCGGGAATTGTCACTAATATGTATTATTACATATAGCGGTTAGCATTATCGTATTGAAAAAAATGGCATTAATAAACTACATAAATGGGCATATAACTACACCACTTATTTCAATTAAGCCCTTCAACTAAATTTTGTATCAATTGAATCCCTTAACTTTGTAATTTGTTTCAATGTTCATCTTCTATCAAATTCTGATAGAACTGATAACGGAACTGACACAAAGGAAAATTCATGATTAATTCTTTGTTTGAGTAAGCTTATCCTTACACCCAACACACCAATTTTCTTCGGTCACATCTCTTCCCCCAAGAAAGACAGTACTAATGAGGCCCCTCTTTCTTTTTGAATCATCTTTCTCCCACCATGGCAAACCTACACTTCGCAACCCAGATTCCTTAAATAAGCTTGAATTATGCCACATTGATCTTCCATCTGATGTCATCCCTTCGTGACTCTCCAATAACTCAACATTTGATGCAACCTTGGTTGTGGATAGATCTAGAAAGATCAAGGGAAGGGGGAAAAAAAAAAGAATTCAGTGAGATTTGAAAAGGCTAAAAAATGTTGCTAAAGGTTGAAGAAGATGTATGTGTGTGTGAGAGAGAGAGAGAGAAGAAGAAGAAACAGGGGGGAGAGTTAGAATAATGTAGAAGCAATAAAAAATCATAGAAGTGAAAGTTTCATTGCATGCAATAAGGATTAGTGACTCCATATTATTATCTTTGCTTCCTTATAGTGTTCTAGCCCTGTTGTTTTTTTTTCCCATCGTCTTCTTTTTTGTGTTCTCTTTTCATATAACAATGTTTATTTATGTCTCCGTGAATGCATCATTCAAATTTGGTACTATGCTCTAATTGTATTATGATTTGTTTTATAGCGNGCAATAAGGATTAGTGACTCCATATTATTATCTTTGCTTCCTTATAGTGTTCTAGCTCTGTTGTTTTTTTTCCCATCGTCTTCTTTTTGGTGTTCTCTTTTCATATAACAATGTTCATTTATGTCTCCGTGAATGCATCATTCAAATTTGGTACTATGCTCTAATTGTATTATGATTTGTTTTATAGCGGTGGTTTTTTCTTTTCCTCAATCCCTTCATTTTCTAATTATTTAGATTTCGGGTGAGATAAGTTCATTGTGAATTATTTTTTGCAGTTAAGACTTAGGTAATGACGAGCATCAAATTTTTGTTGAACATAGATATTTGGTGTTCCTTCAAAGAATTTTGAATTTGTCGGTGATGATTGTTCTTTCTTGTTTAGGGAAATGTATTCAGATAGTGCAAAAATTTCTCTAACAAGTTTGATATATTCCTCAAAAAGAGGAATTTATGCTTAGCCAAGAAGCCTAAATGTCTCATAAAAATGTTAAGTTAAAATCGGAGTGGGAGCCGTGACCAATAACGATGTTTGTCAACAATAGTGTTGCAATGGTGTTTAGAGAGAGAAAATGCGGAGAAAGATTGGTGTTTGGATGTAGGGATAAACTAACTCAAACAAAGAGTCATGATTTTTTGTTTGTGCCCTTCGTTCTGCTATCAATTCTAACATATCTGGAAGGAAAATGCACATTGAATTAGATTAGAAAGTTGAGGTGTCACTTGTATTAAAATAAGTGGTATAGTTGGAGGGTCATTTAGTCATTCACTTACCTAGCTTGCTCTAAAAAATTTCATTAGGGGTGGGAAGTGCGTGCATGCATCGGTGAGAGTGAGACCGCCAGTTCCAGTACTGGATGTTACACGAGTCTTCTTACACCAGGTGGTGTTACTGTAAGTTACCACGTGTATTGTAATACAATAATGCTATGCTGATTGTAATATTTACTCGTAAAAGATCCCCTAACGGTCGTCTCTTTTATTTGTCATCCCCGACGTGAGCTGTGAGACATTTGTGTTTACAGTGCAAATATTCGGATTCCCCCCACCTCCTCTCTCTCTCTGCCTCTCAGAAATTGAAACCCGGTTCCATGAAACCCTTTGCCGCATCAAAGCAAAGAGAAGAAATAAGGAGACAGAGGATGTTAAGAATTGCAGGGAGGAGGCTCTCCTCTCTGTCATGGCGGTCCACTCAGACCTCGTCGGCCATCATCTTCAGTAATCCAATCCAACCACCGGCGCTGGTTTGTCTTCCGATGACCGTATTATTACCAACGACCCATCCAACCCATATTCTATCAAATCCATATCTTCCGATCAAATCAGAGGTTGTCTGACCCACCCTTCACTTTTATACAAATTATGTTGAACTTTTAACCTCTGATTTGTTTTATGGTGCTTTTTATCACCGTTTGTTCAGTTGAAGATGTTGATAATTGATTTATTATTTGCTTTCGTTTAGTTAACAAAGGTTTTTTTGTATGGTTTTTGTTTTAAAAATGAATCTCAGTTTCAGCTCTGATTTTCAATTATTCCGTTCGATTTATGATTAAACTATGTTGTTAATAACTCTGGTACAAGCTTTGATTGCTGCTACATAAATAATTTGTGCCTTAATTGTTTTTGCTTTATGTTTTCGTCTGAAATCCAACATATACATTTGCTGTTTGTTTCATCAACCTGACTGACAAATTAGTATGTGAATTATGACATCGAGTCAAGTATATTGCTCCTCTTATTTAATTTAATAGGGTTGCTTTCTGAATTAAAATGGAAGTTGTAGAGTATAATTGGGTTAATTTACTCCTATTTAATTGTGATAAACACTCGCCTGTTGCAACCACTATTATCACATGCTTCCCTGATGTTACAAGTTATCTTCGACTGGGTCTCTGAAGACAGCCTCACAAATTAGTCACTTTGATGAATAGTTTGGCTGAAAAATAATAAGTAATGTACCAACTTCAGAAGCCATGAGCGCATTCGAATACATGCGTGGAGCATTGTTGAAGTATTACATGCTAACGCTATCTTTTTGTACTTAGCAACTGAGAGGTGCTATCTGCGATGTCGACTATGTCCACATTGATATGGTTAACTTTATATTAG